CCCCAAAACCCCAAAACCCCAAAACCCCAAAACCCCGGGACATTTCTCAGAGATTGAATCTTCAACCTTTAAAAATTATCCTGACCCTAAAATATTGCAAAAAGAGTATGATTTCCTAATTATGACTCGAACTATCCATTACGCCCCGAACTCTTCCTCCTCTTCTTCGCTTTCCAAGTCAAAGTCGTTCAGTTCGGCGCCTTGAATCTCACCAATCCTGTGGATAAAGGCTTGGCCAGTTGAGATGTTCTTGGCGAGATCAGTGATTTCTTTCTCCAGAAATCCTAAGTCATGCTTGAAGATGGTAAATCCTTCTTCATTATGGTCATTGATGAAATGCTCATCTACAAAAGAGTCTATCTCATCGATAAAGGTGGGGAATACCGAAGTGAAGATTATCTTCCGAGATTCCTCGTTTAATGTGCTCAGGATTACTCTGTTCAAAGAGTTCATACTCTTAGAAATTGCCTTTATGTACGGACTTGCTTCTAGACTTTCGATGTTTTCGATCACTTCTCCACTAGTGTAGGATGAGGGAACTGGCTCACTCATTGACTTTCTTATCACATCTCATAATATTTTAGAGAGCTTGTTCAAGATTTGTGTCTTATGGTTGTCAATGTCAGACATAATTAGGTCAAATTCCTTCTTAATCCCATCTTGGTTATCTTCAACCCTGCATAGAATTTGTTCCTGCAAGAAAGGTACTTCCACTAATATAAAGCTCAAGCTTTGGTAAGTAATAGCAAGATGTTTTGCAGTGATTCCCCTCTCGAGAATTTTAGAATGAAAGGCTTGGCTACCAAGGATCTGTTCTCAGCTGATCACATTGTAAACCTTCAGCAGATTGGTGAGATGACTTGCTACTTGTGTAGCAACATTTGGAAAATATCTGATGATTTTGATAAACTCATAAAATAATTTTGCTATTTCACATGTGGAGTTAATAACCTGAAACTTGGTACCATCAACTATCAAATGGTCAGCAAATTCTTGTTCCCCTTGTTTATCGAAATTAAGGAAGTCTTGGTCTTCGATCTGTAGGTCATTGATTACGCTAATAATGCCCTGGAAATAGGGTGAAACCTGGATAGTCTTCCACTCCTCATGTCTGAGTAAAGTCTCCATGGCATCAGTCTTCTTCTTGCTAAAATTATTGATATAGCCCAATATAACATTATCAATAGCTGTTTGGATAGAATGGACTTCTATATCATACTTGTTCTTTAATATATTCGCCAGATCATTGAAGTAATGCTTTAGAATGATGACTTCCTCAATATTTATCGTACATATCTTAGGCTCTGCGATCTGTAAGGACTTGACTATTTTCTTGACAAAGTAATCTGTTGTAGACTTCATAACTTCTTGAACCTGTCCTTTAAAGTACTTCATCTCCACTTCTTTCTTGATGAGATTGTCCTTGCTCTGTCTTTCTAATAATCTAGGGGATTTTAAATTATCAGTCTTATTCTCCTCGGAGATCAAGTCAATATTCACACCCAAGTGTCCATGAGACCTATCAGACTTTACATCATCTTCTTTGCCAATCGGAGAGGCTTCTTCAGCGATCATAGCATCACAGAGATTAAACAGAATGGATGAGAGCCTTTCAAGAGAAATGTACACACCTGAAAAAATGAGGTAAATTAAGAAGAAAGATGCGAGAATATCTTCAGCGTCTAAATGTTTGAAGACTTCCTTCTTGCTTTCGATGCTAACGTTTTTGCCTTTTATCATAGTCATCAGAGAGTCTAGCATCAAGTGATAAAATCTTTTGGAGTTATTAGTAAATTTGCTCTTCATTTGAGTGATAATTTCATTTTCTTTGCCTCATTTTAACAAATTCTTCATCAAGAAGCTGAACTTCGTGAAAACTGTCTTTTTGTCAGTCAACAAGAAGAATGACCAGGACTGGTGGATCATTGAAAATTTCGTATGGTCTAGTACTTCTGCTCTGAAATCTCCCTCCAAGAACTCTCTGATTTGGCCTTGGACTTCTTCGTCGCCTGTTCAGGAGTTAAATTGGATGCTAGAATTGAAGTTAGCTTCGAGCAATTGTCTGAATTCTTCTTCAATCTTCTTTTGGGATTTCCCTTCAGCCTCGTTGATTCTTTCCTTCAAAATATGTGCTACTTTCAACGGTTGCAACTTCTCATTGATGAGCCTGAAGCATTTCTCTATCAGCTCTGTGACAGTGTTAAAATTAGTCCCACTCTTGATGAGGTTCTTAATAACAGGAATACTTTCATGTAAGATCTTGATAAGCTTGAGATGTTTTCTGATTTGCTTCATAATTGTCATCCGTCTGTTGAGAAAGTACACCCCGAGCATATTACTAACGATTTGTTTCCTTTTCTCATTATTGACAGCTTTGATCTCTTGAATAGCTTCTTTGATATCACCCATATCCTGCTCCATATCACGAATGTTGTTAAACGACTGAGAGAAGAAATCGAAGTTCTCGGCTACATGAGCTACTAAGAAATTCTCAACCACTTCTAGGTAATCTTCACACAGTTCGATCTTTGCAGTAGCTTCTTGTTTATTTGAAATATTGAAAAAGCCACTAGAAAGTCTGAAATCCTGCTGGAAGTACTCATCAGGGACTCTATTAACAGCAGAGATAGCGTCGGCCTTCTTTATAGTCTTATTTACCTCCTGATACAACGTATTCTTTTTGATGGTACTTCATATACTTGGCATAAGACTTGTTCATTTTATTAATATACGTCTCATAATCCCCGATTTTAGGAGGCTCTGGTACTTCTGGCGGGAGTATCTTCTCCCCAGTGGCTGAGTACACCCACTGCATAAAGTTGCTCTTCTTAGGATTATTAAGCACAGAGGCGTAGCTTGGGATATTCTTAAGCTTCTCTTGGTAAAAATATCTGTCCTTTACCTCAGGACCTGCTAATGTACCCCCAACTTCTCCTGGAGGAGCAGTCTGGGACTTTATTAATGCTGCTTTAGGTATCTCAGGAACCTTCTTCTCTTCCTCATGTGAGCCTTTGGTTTCTTCACTTCCTTTAAAATCCTTTGGAGATTCTTTGAATTCTTGCGGTGATTTATCCATTTTTAATAATCAATTTATAATGGAGTTCTGGGGTTTTGGGGTTTTGGGGTTTTGGGGTTTTGGGGTTTTGGGG